CTTGCGATAATGAAACTTTCTAGGATATGATATGTTTAACATATATCCAAGACATAAAATCAAAAATTTTGTTTTATTAACTCAAATACTCTATTCGTACTGATTACCTAGGAGTACTATGCTGCAACTATTCTTGTAGCAGCCGGTTTTTTGTTCAGGAAAACCAAATTTTACAATATTTCAATATTTCTCCTACTTAGAGTAATTTGTATGACTTCCAGTAATTATAAAAAATGATTGTTAGGAGTAATTTATACTTATATTTACTCGCTAATGGTTTAGGTGAATTATGAAAGTCTATAACAAAATTTTAGAGGAACGTTTTACACGAGTAGAAACAACTTGATTTATTAAATAAAAATTTATTGTGAATATGTCATAACCGAGGGTTTCAAATTTCCACTTATTTCACAACATACCATTAAAGATTTCATGATACCGCACTACGCTTTAGCGAATGAATCATCTAAAACATTTTATTTTTCTAATTTTCATATAATAGAAATAGATGTTTAGACAACTTATAATGTTTATTTCCGATATACTTTTGCTAAAACGAAACAAAGTGTGTCAACATCACCGTTATAGCAAATTTGACGAAAAATTCTTATTTTTCCGAAGCTCCTTATATTATTTTTCGTGAACGTGCTAAACTGGTACTTTTTAAAGATGAAACAAATTTGCTGAGTACTTATTGCCTACATTTGCGAACTTTCCTGCCATTTTATTGCTCAATCAAACGGTAATTTCTAAGTTCCCAAGCATAAAAAATACTGACAATGAAAACTTTTTTGAACAGTTGTCCGTTCTCCACTTGCAGCGTTCTTCACAGGTTATTTCTGCTTAAAATAGACATTGGAGTCCACCAAAAAAGATGCTTCACAAGTCTTTGCACACGCGTAATGTTCTTTGATTACTTGAAGTGACGTCCTCCTGAGAACTGGTTTTTGGGGACACGTAACCGGTCCAGCGGATTTGCAAGGCCTCATTCTTGCTGAAGAGCCCTTGGAGACATTTTTGCGCCTCTGCTTCTTAGTTTCTTATGCTGTTCTCTGATCACTGAAAATTGTAGAAATACGAGAAAAATACGAAATTTTGCAGGACATGGAAGAGAAGAAGGACTCATTGAGGGGTGTAGCCTTTGCTGCTGTCGTCTTCTCCACAGTAGCAGTGTCAGCATGTCTTGTCACCTTCCCGCTGGTATTCCACTATGTCCAGACACTACAGGCTACTGTACAGGTA